TGTGTGTGTGTGTGAGTGAGTGTGTGTTAATGACGCGAGCAGCAGCAGCAGCAGTGTGGACTGGAGAAATATAAATATCCAGTGACCCAGTTAGCGCAGAGGGAGTCTGCAGTGGAATTGTGGGTAGGATGAGGAGCGGCGCCTCCTGCAGGTCCGGCCCATCCTCACTGATCCCAGTTGTTGTCATAGTAACAGGCTGTATTTAACGGCAGCAGATTGATAAGTGCTGAAGGTCACTGAGGTTTGCTGTGGTTTACTCTTGTTAATGTCTTAATCACACAGTGTGAGAATATCTGCTAAACACTCAGAACGTCCACAGGAATGCGCTGTGCCATAGAATGCAACGCTCCTCGTCTGAGGATGAGAACAGCTCCCATTTGAACCGCAACTAACTAATTACGGTAATTCTGTCGTGACATGAACGCAGCATTAGTGCGATTACAAGACCTGCTCACAGTGGGGCCATTTATGTTTTGTGTGGATTATTTTTGCATATTTAATTTATTATTTTAATTATTTATATTATTATAATTAATATTTTAAAACTTACTTTAAAGCTTAATTATTACTTTGTAACATTTATTTTGTATTTGTAATTTTTTTTTAAAACTGTATTTATTTATTTATTTTTTGCATTTATTGGCACAGGACAATAAAGAGAATTGACAAGAAGCAAACTATCTTAGTGTTTATTTTATATTTGTGTTTTATTTTTATTTTATTTAGTATTTATTTTTATCCTAGTTTATATTTTCTTTGATCAGTATTGCTGTAGGTTTGTAACTGCTTTGTTCACATCACGCCACAGTTACTGTAGCCTGATCATCCGTTTCTCTCAGGTCTCTCAGATCGAGTCTATACTTGAGGAGACCTTTGAAGTACTTCATGAATTATTGTTTGTTTGTGAATGAGATGCAGTGAGCTGCACATGAAGGTGTCATAGATGAGGTGTGATGCTTAAGATGTTTACAGCCAGTAAATGAAATTAATAATTAAGAGTCAAGAGTCAAGAGTCAAGTTAACACAAGAATGGGACAGGTTTTTTTGTTAGTAGTACATAAGAGAATTAATAAAAAGAAAAAGTCAAAAATAAAGTTAATCTCTGTCAAAAGTTTTACATTTAGCTGGCTTTGATTTGACTGATGCAGTCAGGAATCCTCTCTCGATGTGTGTGTGAGACACTAACAGCATCAACACAACAGAGAGAGAATCAACCTGTTACTTTCCTTAAAAGATACAATGTAATATAAATTGTTCTATTATGAGCGTTATTTAATGAGCAGGCGTGTAAAGTATTACTATTAAAAATAAGGCGGCTCACAAGGGTTTGGAGTGTGTGTGTGTGTGTGTGTGCGTGTGCGTGCGTGCGTGTGTGTGTGTGTGTGTGTGTACAGATGTGGCCATTAAGAATCCACAGCATGCCGCAATTCGTCCTGCAGAATGCCACTGAATCCCGTCAGCACGTTGTTTAAATAAATGTGTTGTGCTTCACAAAATATCCACCAAATGCCGCATGGAACAACATACTGCATCTACAGGCCAGACCAAATTGCTCGTAAACACTTTGCAATTATTCGTCTTCGACCGATTGCTAAATATGCTTATAGATTATTACAGTATGCGTTACATTTTAAAAATAGAATTAACATAGGCTACTTATCAGTGTCTGATAAATTAGTAACTGCATGTAATGTTGTGAGAAAACATTCACAATAAAACATAAATAAAATAGTATTAGACACAAATGTTTGATATGGTAATATGGACACTGAAAAATGTATTTACACATGACTGCATGAGTGTAAAGTGGACCATTTTTGATGTGCTTTATAAACAATTTATTGCGCTAGCGTTGCATTCGGAACATCATGTTTACAGAAGGCTACACAACTAATTGATTTTGTATATTTAACTTTATTCACAATATGAAAAATATTGTGTTTCTGTTCAAATTTAAAGATGCCTACACATGCATGCAAAAAGAGAAGTGCAACCACTGATCTATGTCGTTTCAGCAAAAATCAACATAATCTTCTCCAGATGTAAATGTAACTCCTACGAATTAATGTAGCCTCCTCATCTACAGGATTCTGTATCAAAGGATGTGTCATTTTTGTCACTTTCACAGTGTCTGCATGATGAGAATATGTGCAATGAATGAATGTACCTGCACTGCAAAAAATGCTTTACTTAGTATTGTTGTCTTGTTGTTTCCAGTCAAAATATCTAAAGATTCTTAAATCAAGATGCATTTTCTACATAAGAAAAATGACATATATGACACGTATTTTTTCTTATTTTGCAAATTATCTGCCAATGGGGTAAGAAAAATAATCTTGTTTCCATTTGCATTAAAAACATTTTTCTAGATTTAATTAAAATGCACTTAATTTAGATCCCAAAATAGTCACTAAGAAAAGCATTTTTGCAGTGTGAATAAATGAATTAGGTATTTAAGCATCGCTTACGCTTTTAAAAAGGGGGAGGAGACCGAAAGAAACTGAGTTTAGCGAAGAAAATCTGCTTCCAACCAGGGGTGCGTTTCCCAAAAGCATTGTTTGCTAACTATGGTCGTTAGTTTCACTGAACTCTTTTTGTAACAACAGAACTTGTGACCATAGTTGTTTTTGGGAAACGCACCCCAGGTTAGGTTCACAGAAGAGTAAGTTACCATGGTAACTGACCCTAAGTTACCTCTCCTTCAGAAATTGGCTTGACTGCTTTTCTTTAACCTCCCATTCTGAAATAGAAAGCCCAGAGTTTCCCTCATTTCAGGGTTAACATACTCAGTTCATTGTATTTTCACACAATGCACATCACACTTCTGTGAACAGAGAAAACATAATAAAACCACCTATAAATAAAAAGGAATATTTAGGCCTATACGCAAAATATATTTCACTTAATTATTACAAATAAAAAAACTAAATAAATGTAGAGTTTCAGTTCATTGTGGCATGCTCCAAATATCGAGGAAAGGAAACAGAGACATTCAGATTGTTTTTGTTATTTTACAAAATCTGAATATCTTTGGTAAATTTATGAATTATGTCTTGCTTTTATCTGTATGACCATAAATTACAGAGTAACAGTTTAATTTCTTGGAAGGAAAAGATCCAGTGGTTGAGCTGCCGCCTCACACACGCACACAAAATATTAGTAGTAGTGTTCACCTGACTAAAATTTAAATAATCCTATGAACTTAATAAAATTATGCAATTATACAATATAAGCACAACAGTAATGTTCAAACGCCCATAGCTGAATCATAAATATTTTCTTTCAGCTGTAAATAAACAATATTCTTAAAAAAAATGTGGTTCTCACACGTTTATGAGCTCTGTCGCTTGCTGTCAATATGCGCCTGAGAGAGGCGTGTAACACATCTGTTGCATAACACTGGCTTCAGTACACGCTATAACTGAGAATAAAACATGACTGCCCCCTAGTGTGTGTGTGTGTGAGAGAGAGAGTGTGTGTGTGTGTGTGTGTGTGTGTGTGTGTGTGTGTGTGTATGTGT